TCCTGGAATTTGCTCTGTAGACCAGACTGGAGCAGTAAGTGTTCTTAAATGCCAACCAGCATTAAATGTCTCCAGTCCCTCATGACACGCTCTATTATCACAACTAAGGAACTTTGAAAGTGCCAACTGTAGGCTCCATCTCAATTGTCCTCCCTTAGTAGGTTGTGAATTCCAAGGATTATAAATGAATTAAAAAGTATTAAGAATTAAATTTTTCTCTGTGTTTAATAGTATGTAAAATAATAACATCAGTATTTAAAATTTTCTTTTCTGTTAGTGTCTTTCTCACCTTGTATTTCCTCCCTCAATCTTTATTTATTCACTTTCTTCTGATATATATCACTCTCTAGAATCTGATATTTTAAGGTCCTCTTTAAACTTGGGAATGTGTGCTCTAGGCACAGTTGTCACTACGGATAAAGATTGCTCTTAGTGTTCTCCTTCACTCATCCTTTCTTGTGTATTAAACTCAGTTGCATTTTACACCTACCCTTGGTTACCAAGGATACCTACCAGTTTCAGGATGACAGAGATGTTGGTTAAGGCGGGACACAACACCTGAGGCCTTGCTGTTATTGTCAACCTGATGGATCAGCTATCCCTAATTCTGGTGCTACCCCAGGGCTTCTAATCCATGAAGCAACAGGCTTCCACCTTGCTTGTCTATTTAAAATGGACTTGCTACTCTTAATTCTAAAACAGTCCAACCAACTCCGGTCTCATCCTGGCTGTGGGATTAGGGTATTTTGAGCTGCTTGGAAAGACTAGGTGGAGGACTAGCAGCTCAGCAGGCAGGTGGAAAAGAGTAGTCCAGGTGAGGGCAAGATTTGAGGAAGGGCAAAGGGCAGTGGAGTCATTTGTTGTGTGTAGAGGTGAGAGCAAGGGTGGCTGCAGTTAGATAATAAAGCTAAACTGATGACTTGGGGCTAGTTTCTCAAAGAAACAGGTTTTTTTTTTTTTGTTGTTGTTGTTGTCTTTAGGTCTCAGGCCCTTTTTAAATACTTAAAAACATTGTCTTTTTAATTAGCATACATTAATTATACATAATAATAGATTTCATTATGATATTTTTATAGATTTATAGTATAGAATGTATCTTCTTCCCAGCTTGTTCATCCCTCTTCTACTTTCATCTCTCTCTCTCTCTCTCTCTCTCTGCCTTTCTCCTACTCTCTGACAGACCAATGAGTCATCAAGGTTTCATTAAGGTTGGGTGAAAGGCATTGAAAGCAATATAAGAAATTTCTCTATCCCCCAGCAACCATTAGTGAGTCTCTTGGACCCCTCCCAATTCCTGGACAGGATATTGATCTTATGCATTTCTCATGCAGGTGTGAGTTCAGAAGTGCCCTGTGTGGTGGTTTGAATGACAATGGCCCTCATAAGCTCATATATTTGAGTCCTTGGTTCCCAGTTGGTGGAACTATTTGAGAAGGATTAGGAGATTTGGCCTTGTTGGAGGAAGTGTGTCACAGGGTGTGGATTTTGAGGTTTCAAAAGACTCATGTGATACCCAGTGCTCTCTCTCACTGTCTCTAGCTTATGGTTACACCAAGAGCTCCCAGGTGTTTCCTCAATCTGCCATCACAGACTCTAACCCTCTGAAATCATGAGCCAACTTAAAAACATTTTCTTTTATAAGTTGCCTTACCACTGGTGTTTTAGCGTAGCAATAGAAATTTAACTAAGACACATGCCTATGATGGAAAGATAACATTCTACCATACTTCACCTCTCCCAAGGCTCTTACAGTTTTTCTACTCTCTTTTCCACAATGTTCCCTGAGCCTTGGGTAGTGCCATGTAGAGGCCCTACTTATGGCTGAGTATTCAATAGTCACTTATTCTCCTGGCTTTGACTAGTCATGCATCTCTCTCTGCAGCTATTGCTGCTCACTGCAAAAAAGAAACTCCTCTGAGCAAAGCCGGTAGTAACACTAATCTAGGGGATTAAAGATAATTATTTAGAAGGCAATCCAACAGGTACATCATATCTATTTAGAAAAAGTAACAGTGGGAGCTTTCCAACTAGGGGCTATGACCTTCTTAGTCAAGGGTGTTTGGCCAAGTTCATGGTACCAGACTTTTAGCATCCTGTGGAGGAGAGAAATGATGCAATCAGGTGAGTCAGTGTTTATGGTTTATGCACTTAGAAGGATACACACACACACACACACACACACACACACACACACAGCAGTACAACAGAAGAGAAGATAGTAAAAGTAAGATGCAAGAAGAGAGGCAACGTAAATGAATACAGGTCTTAGTTTTCTAGAACATTATACATAGTCGGCTAGCACATGTTGTGTGTGTACAAGATTGTATAAACATATATGTGCTTTGTCTAAACAAGGGGGATGAAGCTATCGAGTATCCATGTGCTTAAATTCAATTTTTGATTGGTTGTTTGCATTGATCCCATGGTAGGAATCAGAAGTCTGTGCTGTCACTACTTTGATATGAATCTTCCTGGTTCCATAATGAAACCCAGTAATTTCTGAAGAAAAAAGCTTGTTCCCATGCTATCTCAGCTACACTTTGCACTAACAATAGAAAATGCACTTCACGGGGCTGTGCACACATGGGCCTATTTTACCCTCATTACAAGATGTCTCCAGGTTATGGTTGTTGGTAATGATTCAGATCTTTGAGGACATCAAGGTCAGCATATCTGGAATCTTTATGTCCTTTCCTTTCCAAGTGTCACCTTCTTGATGTGAGGTGACTGAAGTACAGGGGATGTACTGCTAGAGCATCTGCCCTCTCAGGCAAGTGCCCTCTCTACTCTGTATGTTCCTCCACTTTACCTTCCCATAGCCACATTGGTGCTAGGTGAGCACCACACAGAGAGGGAGCCTGGCAGAGATTTGCAAACTCATTCTTTTCACACAATTTCTGGGGAATCAGAAGTGCTCTGAAAGGCCTGGACGGGTGGCTCAGTGGTTAAGAGCTCTGGCTGCTCTTCCCAGGAAGCCTGGGTCTATTTCCGGAACCCACACGGCAGTTCACAACTGTCTGTAACTCAAGTTCCAGGGGACACACAGCCTCTGTGGGCACCAGTAATGTAAGTGGTGCACAGACATACATGCAGACAAGACATCCAGCCACATGAGAGAGAGAGAGAGAGAGACAGAGAGAGAGAGACAGAGACACAGAGACAGAGATTTTGAAGTCACTTAAGGGTCCCTAGTCTTAGAAACCTGATTTCAAAATAGGGACACTCTCTTTGAACCTTGGTTTCCGGGTGGTCAGTCCTCAAAGAAACTGAACATAGAGGAGATTTCTAACCATCTTGTTTGAAGCAACAAGTTTTTTTTTTTTTTTAATTCTTCTCTTGTGTATTACATACCCATCACAGTTTCCCCTTCCTTCCCTCCCCCAGTCTCCCTGCACATTTCCCCTCTTCCCGAAGTTTCCCCCTACCCCCCACCTCCCCTCAGACAAGAGCAAGGCATCCCAGGGACAGCATCAACCAACCAATCATGACATAGCAAGCTACAGTGAGACCAGGCACATACTATCACATCAAGGCTGGACAAGGCAGCCTGATAGTAAGAAAAGGGTCCTACAAGTAGGCAAAAGAGTCAGAGACAGCCCCTGCTCCCACTGTTAGGAATCTCACAAGAACACCGAGCTACACAATCATAACATGTATGCAGGGGACTTAGGTCAGACCACTACAGACTTCCTGAACTCTGCCAGCCCCCATGAGTCCTGGTCAGTTGATTCTGTGAGTGTGCCCTATTGGTGTCCGTATTGATGTCTGGGTCCTCCAATCCTTCCTCCCACTCCTCTATAGGACTTCCCAAGTTCTTCCTAAGCTTTGGGTGTGCTTCCAAATCTGCTTCAGCTCCCATCAGTGAAGCAACACGTATTTCAAAGGCTGAAGACTCAAATGAAATAGTGGTGTGATGGTATTCTGCTTTTACTTTTTAAGAGATTTTAAAAGCTTTTATTTTATATGAGTGTTTTGACTGCATGTGTGTATCTACAACATGTACCTGCCTATGTCAAAAGAGGGCATTATATCCTCTGGAACTAGAGTTACAGACAGCTGTGAGCTACCATATTGGTGCTCGGAACTTGACCAGGGTCCTCAAAAGTGCCCTTAACCTCTGAGGTAGTCCTCCAGTCCATGAATATGTTATAAACTGTAAAGTGCTCTTCATATGAGAGTGTCCCTCTACTGTGAGAATTGTTACCCATGGATTGCACATTTTGGTTTCCACTTGCATTCTCTCTCTGTGTGTGTGTGTGTGTGTGCGTGTGTATGTAGTATGTTTGTGATGTGTGTGTGTATGTATGGTGTGGTATGTGTTTATGATGTCTGTGGGTGTGTGGTGTGTGTGTGTGGTTGTATGTGTTATGTGTGTGTCTGTGTATGTGGTATGTGTGTGGTGTTTTCGTATGTGTGTGAGGTGTGTGTGTATGTATGTATGTATGTGGTGTGCATTCACATTTAAGCAAAATAATGTGCTGGACAGGGTGGTGCACATCTGTAATTCTAAAGTGGGAAGGCTGAATTAAAAGCATCTTAGGTTTGGACTAGAGAGATGGCTCAATCCATATAATACTTGCTTTGTGATCATGAGGGCGAGTTTCATTCCTAGGCCCACTGGACAGTCCTGGCCTGGTAGCTGGTGCTTGTAACCTAAGTATTATGGTATGTGAGAGGAATCTCTCTGGGCCCCTTTGGCCAGTCATTCTGGCCTATGTATTAGGCCAGGTCAGCAAGAGGCCTGTTTTAAAGGGACCCAAAGTAGATGGCTCCCAAGTAAACAACCAGGTTAATCTCAAGACTCTGTATATATAGGTTGCACACATGCACACACATTACACACACACACATACACACACGTGCACACACACATATACATGCATGTGCATACACACAGGATCACAAGTTTGAGGCTAGCATGGGCTATATAGAGTGACCTTGTTTTGAACCAATAAACACAGACAGGAGATAATAAAAAAGGAAAAACAGAAGCGAATCAGTGCCAGGAACACACAGAAAATATTTTATTAACTTCCAGATGGAGAAAGGGTAGAGTAAGAAATCTCAATAGAAATCCATGACTCTCCTCAGAGAGCCCACCCTGGCATTCATGGCGCCCCAGTCGTGGTAGCGCCGGTACTCCCCGGGCCTCAACAGGTACTGCCGCCCCCGGTAGTTGGGCATCTCGTAGAGGACCCAGCAGCCCTCCAGCACATTGAGGGAGTAGATCTCGCTGAAGTGGAAGCGGTCCTGGAGAGAGGGGCAGTCCTCGGTGAACTCTACCATCTGGCCTCTGTAGTCTTCCCTCTCATATAGTCTGATCCTGTGAGAGCCGGCCTGGCAGGCCCAGAAACAGAGAAAAGCCTCAGGATGGCCTCACTTGCCTCGGGCCGTTTGAAATAGATGATCAACACATTAATTACCCAGACTACTTATAAACTTGCCACAGTGTGGGCGGATTCCGTGATTTTTCTAAGACCACAAAGTGTGAACCAATGGAAGGAGAGGGGCATGGGAACCCCCTCTGCAGCGTGCTGTGAAGTGAGTCCCACACAGAAACCCTGGCCTTCAACAGCCTGCTGCTACCTGAGGTTTGCCATTTGGGGGCATGTTCTTATATTAAGATATTAAATACCGAAAGTCTCAGGCAACGGTGACTGCTCAGTTAATAATTTATAAATAGAATGAGGAAAACATGAGGAGATAAAATCAGTAAGCCCAAGGGTAGTTCTTCATGAGCGTTGGCATTTTAAAACACTTGAAATAGAAGTGGCACATCTATAAAACATCTGTGCTCCTCTGAGTGGAGGGAAAGCACTGTGACTAGACTAGATGGAGGAAACCCTGGATATCCAAGGAGGGCATGGAAAGAGCAAAGAGGGGTTAGACATATTACTTCTGTGTTCAGGAGCCACGGTGTAGTACAGCGCATTTTATCTTTCTATTGTTCCATACTAAATGATTGCAACACAGGGTTTCGATTTCGTATATAAGGGCCGGATGCTGCCAATGCGTTCCTACCCCACAAAAACCAACCAATTTGCAACTAGGTAACACTTAGCTTTTCAGTGTGTATATGTTGGGATGAGTGACTATGAACTAATCAATTCTAGCTTTTATGGATCTTTTTTTCCCCTCAACAGGCTCAGCCCTACGTCTAACGTTTAACCTGCAGTCAGGGTACTAAGTCTTGATCAGAATACAAACTCACGTGGGGGATGAGGCGGCAGGAACGGACAGAGTCACTGAGGCCCATCCACTGCTGGTAGTCAGGGTAGTCCCCACGCCTCAGGAAGTACTGGCAGCCTGTGAAGTTGGGCTGCTCATAGAGCATCCAGCAGCCACTGTCCACGCGCACAGAGTTGCAGCGGCTGAAGTAGGGCTGCAGGTTGGAGTGGTCGCTGCTGCACTCATAGTGGCGGCCCTGGAAGCCGCGGTCCTCATAGAAGGTGATCTGTAAGGCAAGGCAGGGCTCAGAGACCTGATGTGGCATGGACCCCAGGGCAGGACCCTCCCCAGGCCCTGGGTGCTCTGGGCTCACCTTCCCCATGGCTGGTGGAGTCGGTTCGGATGGGATGGTGCTGTTGGGTGTGTATGGCTGGGCGCGCAGGGTCTATATAGCAGGAGGTCTGCTGCGTTTGCAGGAACAGCACAAAAGGGCCCCGCGGGGGGCAGGGCACTTTGATGTTCTCCTCTTTTCTCTTTGCTGTCATAGCCCACGGGACTCATTGTGGGTTTTGGTCCTATTCTCTCTGGAGTATTCGGGTTGCTATCACTAGCTGATGCTATTGAGATTGCTTGAAAAAAAGTAATTTGGCACATTGTTTATTTAATAATAGAAGCAGGGCTTCAGCCATTTCATAGATAGAACACACTCTTCTTTGTATAGTTGGGCAAAACAAAAACGGGTAAGTGGGGAGCAGAGAGTCTTGATGAGGTAAATATAAATTGCTGGTAAGACCTGCTATACTACTTGTGGATGCCCCAACTTGAACATGAATTAACAGGAAATTAATAGACTCAACTGAATGTTGAAAAAATCAAGTCAAGACGTTTAAAATTAAAGGGTGTAAGAAACTGGGACTATTTTATCAAGGGAGTTCCCAGATTTTCACACTTTCACTATGGAAAAAAAGCCAAAGCAAACCAAAATTCCAAACAAGCAAACACAGTATTTGTTTGTGACTTTGTTGCCCGCTGGAGGCAAAGTAGACTGTTCCTTTTAGCAGTGTGTGTGTGTGTGTGTGTGTGTGTGTGTGTGTGTGTGTGTGTGTGTGTGTTTCTGCAACTGAAAAGGAAATTAGTTTTAAGATGTTTAACCTTACAACTAAAAGGAAAAGTCGGTCTGAGGAAGTGGGAAAACCCAATCCATTGGAACCCCCAAACTCATCAGGCCTTAGGCTATAAAGTAAAACCAACTCCCAAGGTACACAGCTCTGGTGGGATCTGGGCGCTGCCTTTGTTATGTGGGAGACAAGGGTAAACAGAGCGTTTGATCCAGAGGAAATGACTTAGAGGATCGGGGCTGGGCTGGAATGCTGCAGGACTGGAAGGGACGAAGGTCTAGGAGTGGGGACTCTAGGAAGGCTTTACAGGGAATTTATTGGCTTGGAGAAGTTTGATGGAGTGGAAAGAGCACCCGAGTGGAAGATGACTGCTGAGTCTATCTCCTTTCATGTTGAAAGAATTACTCACACTTCTTTCGCCCCATAGAGGGACCTTGCCTTGCCTGTGACTCAGCCATCTTTGTACATTGGCACGTATGCATTGAAGCTCTGACTATGTGTGGTGCGATGCATTCAGTTATTATTTTCTGGATTCTGGCTTTCTGATATATAGACACATGTTACAAATTCACTTATGACAGGATATCTCCCACAGATAACCATTGTTATCGGAACATTTTCAATAATGAAGCTTAAGTTGAGAGCAACATTACATTTGTCAGAGTTGTTTCTGAGTCTTGGGTTCTGGGGGAGAAGTGTTGATTGGCAAACACTGTAAAGAGGAAACTCTTCATCATAGTACCAAAAAGTTTAGATGGGATGGATCAGGAAGGTGCATAAAGGGATATGTGTGTACATGGCGGGAGGGCTTTTGTTGGTATAAAACTATATTTAGAACACATCTGTAGGGTCCAAACAAGGAAAATGTCTTGGTCATGTGAAAGCTTTATTTCAGTCTGGGGCTGAACAAACAAGGGCAACATCCCAGACTTCTTATAGAGCAGAAAAACTCAAGGTTGGGCCAATATATGGCTCTGTTTAAATGCTGGCAAAAAGTTCCATAAGTGACAAGGTTATATAAGACCCAATGCCCACATGTTGAACATAGTATGTGAGCTCTTCACAGAGCTCTTCACAAGCTGTCTCAGGTCACTGGGAAGGCTACTGAAGGGGGAAGCTGGAGATGAACATGTGTCATTGCCTCAAGTATTGTCTGATCCAGGAAGGGACCCATGGTCAAGCCCTAGATATTTAAGTGATATTTAAAAAAAAACATTGTTAGAAGAGAGAACTTCAAGCTAGTTCAAGCTATATGTGCCATCAATAGAATGTGTGGTTTATGCCGGTCCATAAGTATGTGAGAATAGAATTTCTGGTATCTGGGTGTAACCTATTTTATGAATCCAAGTCTTGTTTCACTGGGGAGGAGAAAAATGTGATATTCATCCTTCTTGGGGTTTTCCTTCTCTCGTTTTTTCCAGGCTTCACAATGCTAAGGTGTTTTTCTGAGGAGAGAGGGGACACATAGGTGTTACTGTAGAGTCTGTGGATTGGGAGTCTCCCCAGTTTTCACATTAGCCTGAAGGTGAGAACTGGTGCCTCAAGGGCTGTGGAAGCTGATGTACTTCCGTGTGGCATTTAGGGGAATGTTTGGATTGGTCCATACTTTCTGTTTTTTGTTTTTTAAGACAGAGTTTTTCTGTGTTGGCTGTTTTGGAACTCATTCTGTAGATAAGGATGGGCTCAAACTCACAGAGATCCTCCTGCCTCTGCCTCCCAAGCACTAGTATTAAAGGTGTGTGCCACCACTGCTAGGCTTATACTTTCTGTAATTTTGTGTATTTTTAAGTTTATTTTTAAAATCATTCTTTTTGTTTTGAGTTAAGAGTTTTCCTATTTATTTATTATTTATTTTCTTTCTCATACAATTCATCCTGACAGCAGTTTCTCCTTTCTCCACTCCTCCCAGGCTCCCTGCCTCCCTTTCCCCTTGATCCACTCGCCCGCCATATCCCTTCAGAAAAGAGCAGCCTTCCCAGGGATATCAACCAGTCATACCACAACAAGTTACTATAAAACTAGACAAACCCTTAGATCAAGGCAGGAGGAGGCAACGCAGTGGCAGGAAAAAGGGTCCCACAAGCAGTCAAGAGGATCAGAGACAGCCCCCATTCCCACTGCGTGAACTCCCACAAGAACACCAAGCTACACAATCATGACATATATGTAGGGGACCTAGGTCAGACCCATTCAGGCTCTGCGGATGCCACTTCAGTCTCTGTGAGACCCTATGAGCCCTGCTTAGTTGATTCCGTATTCTCCTGGTGTCCTTGACCCCTCTGGCTCCTACAATCCTTCCTCCCCCTCATCTTTGGGGCTCTGTCTAAGGTTTGGCTGTGGGTCTCTGCACCTGCTTCCATCAGTTGCTGGATGAAGAAGCCTCTGATGATGATTTGGCGGGATGCAGATGTCTTCTGGCTGGAGCAGCCTGCACTTGAGCAGGTTCATTCAATATTTTTATAGTTTTTATTTTTATATTTACCCCCAATCATTCCTTGCTGTCTTAAAACTTTCCCCCCTCACATATTTATGTCATTTACTTGGCACCTAAAGTTATCAACTTGCAACTCCATATAACAGTTTTTCAAACTCAGCTGGTTATATTGATGTCTGAGATACAGGCAGGCAGAGCTCTGTGAGTTTGAGGCCAGCCTGATTTACAAAGTGAGTTCAATGCCAGTCAGGGAAACATAGAGAGATCCTGTCTCAAACTCTGTTGCTCGACCCTTTGAGAAAACCAAATCAAGTACAGCTGCCAATTGTGGGAACTTGGACAAAAGCATCCTTTATTAGGGGCTTTTATATTCATGGAGGTTAAATGGCCTTTTGTAAATGTGTCCTGAAAGAGTGTAAGAAGAGAGAGTGATTCGTTTCAATTTTGCTTTTGTTTTAAAAGTCTTTGCTCACCCAAAAACAAACAAAACAAAACAAAATGGCACTATTAGGTTGGTTCTGTTCGAAGAAAATCGGTTCGGTAAACGTAAAACCTTGAGAACTGCTTAGTTTCAAGAATGTAAAGCAAAACAGGATGAACATTTGGACTAGTCCATCTGCTTGTAAGGTTTCCAAGTCCAATCCTAGAACTGCTCTGGAAATTCACTCCTCCATGACCTTTGGCCCACTTGAGCTGGGGCATCATTGTTTCTTCTGACTAGCTGTGAGACTCTGATGCCTTACTTAATTCAACAAAACTAGTGTTTTATTTTTCTCTACAGACTTAATTTGTCTAGGATAGAGACTTCTTATAGGATACATGTTTAAAAAAAATAAAATACCTTCAAAGCAATGATCTTCCTTATGCCAATAATTCGAGTACTTGGGAAGCAGAGGTAATAGGGATTGCTGAGTTTAAGGTCATCCAGGGCTAAGGGACAACACACACACACACACCTCTTATAAACAGCTTATTTTCTTGCTTTGCATGCCACTTCACCTTAAATGTTGCAGTGTTACTCTGATATCTTCCTCCCTTTGTTCTTGTTATCCTCAAACCTTTTGCTGAGTGAGACTTGTCATCATCAGGAGAGGCTGTGATAGTGAAGGGAGCATAGCTCTCTGGGAATTTGAAAGAAATGGCAAACTCTTTGTAACTTGTCATGAGAGGAAGACAAAAAATGGGCCACTTAAAGCACCTGGACCCCTTCTGAAAGCTGATCCTTTAGAAGAGTGATATGTGAACCTTAAATGTTGTTATCGAAGGAGCCCAGGCTGTGCTGAGTCACTGATAAAGCTTATTTCTAAACTGTAAAGGAGCATTGGAAGACTCTCTTTGCCTGCACCCCAGTGGTTTAGAGATGGGAACAGAGGAACCTGTAGGGATTGGAGGGACAACCAAGGAGTGGGAACCTCAAGGAGCAAGCAGCAGGAGGCTGAAGGCAGGATGTCCTATGTCTACAGTGCAATCTTCCAGTTTCTGTCTGGTCCCTGTAGCAAGGACAGTTTTTCATTCTCTGGAAACTGTACTCACTTGGGATGTTTCTCCAGACTAGAAAACAAGGAAGTTCCAATGAAGTGGATAAAGAATTTTTAAATGAGTATTTTGACCAGGCAGGGGTGGTATATGTCTTTAATCCCAACATTCAGGACACAGAGGCATGAAGATCTCTGTGAGTTCAAGGCCAGGTTGGTCTACAGAGTAAGTTTCAGGAGAGGCTCCCAAAGTTACACAGAGAAACCCTGTCTTAGAAACAAAACAAAATGAAACAAAATATAAAACAAAACAAAACAAAACAAACAAACACACAAACAAAAAACACCAAACAAACCATAAAAAACAAAAACCCCAAACTCAAAAATGAGTATTTTGTGCTCAGTAAATACTTTCTATCTCCGAAATGTTAAAGATAATATAAACACATAGCAGGGGAAATATGCATGACTCAGTTTCCCCTAGAAGTTTGTCATGGGATGATTCTGAAAGTACATTGGAATTAAAAGTACCCAAATACTATATTAATTAGTACTTGATATTGGTTTGTTTGTTTGTTGTGAGGGTCTCAATGTGTAGCCTAGGCTAGCCTGGAACTCACTACACAGCCCAGGCTGGCTTCATGCTTGCTGTGACCCCCCTGCCTCAGCTTGCAGAGTAATAGGCTTATATAGTTGTGCCACCATAGCCAGATCTAGTAAGGGACTTAAAAAGATGATTTTCAACCTGGCCTACAGAGCGAGTTC